CCGCAGACCACTAATATGATTTTTTTTAAAAATATAAATAGCATTTAGTGCAATATAAAACGGACAAATATTTTTTCTGCGGACCACCAAAATTTTCTCATGGAAAAAAAACCACTGATCTATGGTGTATATTTCATGTTCTTTTCCTCCGAGTAGAGTTTCCTGTTACAGTTAAACAGTTGAGCAGTAAAACACATGGTGACTGTACCGTTTGTTCACGATCACTGCTGCTATATCTAAACTGATTTTCTAACAATATTTTTGATATCAAGGACTTTCCCAGGAGGGTCAAAAAATTTCAAATGGTTTCTGCTGTTACACAATCAAAATTCCACTTCTTTTTTAGATGTTGTGCATGCCAAAAAAGAGGGAGGGGCTTTTCTAAGCAGCTGGGGGAGGGCATATTGATTTCTTTAACCCTTCTGTGGACACTCAGGATAACTATTAATATTAGTAGAGGTCATTGTTAGCTTTCTGGCCTAATTTGGCAGAAAAAGCATACAGATAGTCCTCAATTTACAACTCTTGGTTTAGCAACCAAAGTTACGACGGCACTGAAACAAGGGACTTATGACTGGTCCTCGCACTTACAACCATTGAAGCATCTCCACGGACACATAAGCAAAATTCGGGCACTTGGAAAGAGCCATTTACGACAGTTCCAGTATCCCGGGGTCAGGTGGTTGCCATTTGCGCCTTCTGATAAGAAACGCCAATGGGAGAAGGCAGATTCACTTAACGACCACATGATTCATTTAACAATTTCCATGTTTTGCTTAACAGCTGTGGGGAGGGGTGATTGTAAAACCGGGCACGACTTACTGAACAACGTAAAGCCTTATCTAACGTTGAACACTTTAAGACTTGTGGACTTCAACTCCCAGCATTCCCCAGCCCGCCATGCTGTGCTGAGTAGGGAATTCTGGGAGTTGAAGTCCACAAGTCTTAAAGTGATCAATGCTCAATCCCTCTGTTTTAGAGGTGGAAGAGAGCTGAACGGAGAGCTTCCACCCACCCACCCACCCAAAATATAAGATTTAATCTAATCAAGCTTAGCTCGTTGCATAAATGCAGCCAGGGGTCTGACTAAGGCTGAGCCCACCATCCCAAACCAAGAAACATCTTAAGCCATCAATGCTGGTTTATTCACACAGCTCTCCACCCCTGTCCTTCCTGGTTAGATTGACGGGAGTTCTCTGCACAGCTTGGTTGGCACAAGGAAGGGGAAAGCTTGGGGCAGGGATTTTGGGGGTCTTGGTGACCCACAAGATTGGGGGAAGGGTATGAGCTGGAGAAGGACTTCACCTGCCATCACCTGGGCATCTATAGGTCAGCGGCCTCCTCCGAGGCGCCCTTGGGCCCTTCCTCGGACCTCGTGGTCACCTTGAACTGACGGCGCAGGAAGCCGCCATAACGCTTCTGCTTCTCCCACTTGAGCTTGGGACGGATCCTGCGCATGAAGCCCCCGTAACGTTTGTGGAGATCCTCCTGGTCGCCCCCATCCTCCTCTTCCTCGGTCCCCGCCACCCAGGAGCCCCTCTTGGGGAATTTGCGAAGGAAGCCCCCGTAGCGTTTCCTCTCCGCCTTGGGAGAGGCCGGATCAGGTTCTTCCTCCTCCTCCTCCTCTCGGTGGGAGACCAGACCCCGAATCTCCAGCATCTCCGGGTTGTCTCCTCCGGCCTCTGGCCGTGCCCTCTCCACCATCTTCGGGAAGAAGCGCCCGAAGGACCGGCTGGCATCTCCCTTGGTGAGGACGCTCTGCTTGGAGAAAACGGGAGAGAAGAGAGGAGAATAGGACAAAGAAGAGAAGAAGAACAGAGAAAGAGCAGACCAGAAGGAAGGAAGAAGGGAAGGAAGAGGAAAAACAGGAGAAGAGACGACAGGAGGAAATAAGAAGAGGAAGAAGGAGGAGAGGAGAGGGGAAACGGAAGGAAGGAAGGAGAGAGGGGAGAAAGGAAGGAAGGAGAAAGGGGAGGAGAAAGGGGACGAAAGACAGGAAGGGGGAGAGATGGGAGCAAGGAAGGAAGGGAAGGAGGGAGGGGAGAGAAGGCAGGGAGGGGGAAAGGGAGGGGACGGCAGGGAGGAATGGAGGGAGGGGGAGAGGAAAGAGGGAGGGAGGGAGAAAGGGGAGGGAAGGCAGGGAAGGGGAGATATCAGGGAGGGAGGGGAAAGGAAGGAAGGAAAGAAGGGAAGGAGGGAGGGGAGAGAAGGCAGGGAGGGGGAAAGGGAGGAGACAGCAGGGAGGGAGGAAAGGGGAGAGGAAGGCAGGCAAGGGGAGATATCAGGGAGGGGAAAGGAAGGAAAGAAGGGAAGGAGGGAGGGAGGGGGAGAGAGGAGACCAGGGAGGGGAGAGAAGAAGGAAGGAAGGAGGGGAGGGAAGGAGGGAGTCGGAGGGGAGGAGAACAATGAGAACAGTGGAACAGTGAGAACAATTAACCAGTGGAACGACTTGCCACCAGAAATTGTAGGTGCTCCCTCTCTGAAGGGCTATGAGAAAAGACTGGAGAACCATTTTGTCTGAAATGGTACAGGGTCTCCTGCTCGAGCAGGGGGTTGGTCTAGAAGACCTCCGAGGTCCCTTCCAACTCGGTCATTCTCTGCCCTCTGACTATGTTATCTTCCGAAAACTCTAGTAAGCCTGCCAGGTTTGAACCTTGTCTGGGTTTGTGTGACATACACACAACCGTGTGTATGCAACCGTGAACACCTTTTCCCACTCACCTGGGATCTGCCCGCCTCTCCCTCCTCCTCCTCCTCCTCCTCCTCTTCCTCCTCCATCGGAAAGGACGTTAAGAGCGAGAGGATCCTTTCGCATCTCTGCCACTCCACGCCCGTCACGGAGGGATGTTGGCACCCCAAAGCACAGCCCTGCAAGAGGAAAAATTAAAAATGAAAAGCAGCCAAGAGAATTGCAGGTAGTCCTCGTCTTAACAACGGTTTCATTTTAGTGACCATTCTAAGTTACCCCACTGAACAGAGGGACTTATGACCATTTTCACACTTAATGGCCGTCGCAGCAACCTCATGGTCACGTGATCAAAATTCACTCCCTTGGCAAGTGACTCGCGTTTCTGACGGTCACAGATGTCCCGGAGGTCACGTGGTCCCTTTTTGTGACCTCCTGACCAGCAAAGTCGACGGTGAAACCAGATTCACTTAACAACCGGGTTACTAAGACACCCACTGCAGGGATTCGCTTAACAACGGTGGCCAGGAAATCCCGTAGAATGGGGCCAAACTCACTTAACAAGTGCCTCACTGTGGCCATCAATTGGGGTCGTAAGTCAAGGACTGCCTATATTTACGGGGTGCTTGTTTTCGCTAGATCCAAAAGAACCAATTGCCTGGGGTCCCGATCCCTGCCCTGGTCCTTGTCAAAACGGCCTCGTGGCCAACCCAAAGGTGCTTTTCCCAAAGGTAGAACTTCCTTGTGTTTCTGCCTGAAGACATTTCGCTTCTCATCCAAGAAGCTTCTTCGGTTCTTCGTGAACCGAAAAAGCTTCTTGCACGAGGAGCGAAACGTCTTCAAGCCAAAATGCAAAAAAACGTCCAGTTTTACCTTTGGAGAAAGCACTTTTGGGACCACCATGACCTGGATGACTGAGATACTCCGTAGACGGCCTTCCGGTCATCGTCTGTTGTAACTTACTAGAGGGTTGATGGGCTTCTCTCCATCCTGGTTGTGAAGAATACACAGGGAACAGTGAGAGACGCACTCCCAGGAAGCTGAGAAAGCCACGTGGAGGTAGAAAACCAGACCCCAAAGCTGCCAATCCATGCTTCCCAAAAGGTACCTGGGGGGGGGGGGACAGAAAGACAAGTCAAGAATTAAGAGCATCTACTACCGGAGAAGTCGGTGTAGGAAGTTTATCACCCAGCCCTCTCCCAGAAATATGAAATATCCTAGGAAATATTGAAAAGG